TTCTTTAATCTATTTAAATTAATTAGTCAGCTTTTATATTAAGGAATAAAAAGAGTATGTTTTTTTCCAACCAAAGTCTCTTTTGTTATTCAGACAGCAAATTAATTAACAGTAGCAGTTGGAAGGGACAGATTCTTGATGCATGGTGGCAAATAGGATGAGATCTTCTAAATCAGATATTGGATGATGAAAAAGGCAAAGGAATTGGGATATACATTCACTGAGCATCCATTCTGTACATATATACCCTTGGAAATATATCCTAAATTTTTTTAAAATATATAATTAATTTGTTTATCTTTCCTCTCATCATACAGTACCATCAATTTGTTATCCACGGCTGCACAGCTCGGCATCTCTGTCCCTGCTTGCTTCAAAACTGTCTGATTATTATTCTCTTGAAAAGACGTACAGCTGATTTATGGCGACTCAGGTCGATGAATGTGCGTGATGAAGGCCACAAAACACGCAACTGCTGTGAATGAATCATTTTATATCGAGATTACTTTAAAATAATACATCGAATTTGAATCTGTGTCGCAGATAATGCTTGTTTTCTTTTTCATATCCATTCACTTAATTAGTGTCAATTGGTTCCTCCCTCGTATTCGCATCGTCCATCGACGAAACACACAGCTGGAAGAAACCAAATATAAAAGGCAGAGATTCTTTCGAGACTTTTGATGCACTCAACAAATACTCCTCCGGTCCTTAATATAGGACTCAATTCTTAAGTTGATTTTGATCTTAAATATAAGACCTATTTTTCATATTTATCAATTTTCTCTAGATTACCTCTATAGATACTCCTTCAACCATAATCGAGACTTTTGATGCACTCAACAAATAATAATTAAAGCAAAAGGTCTGGGTCAACAAATTCTCTTGCTTCTCCTTTATGAATGTCTTTTTTTTAAAAAAAAAAAATCCATAGTTTTTTTTTAATTATAAAAACTGCATCCTGGACAACATGGCGTGAGCGGCATCAGTAAGCTAACTCGTGAGTCTGCGTTTGACATTATTTTGGACAAAATAACGCGAGAAAAGCTTTTGACGTCAAACTCTTTTTTTTTTTTGCCCAAGCTTTTTGATCCCAATCTAATGCCAAACACGCTCTACGTCTTGGTTTTAGCTTTCAACTTGTATAGTGTAATGTACGGGTGTTGTTCAGCCAATGTCATCCTCTATCTAATCTGAACTATTCAAAAATGCTTAATGTCAATATTCATTAGAGAGTTGATGTTAATTCTGTATGTAAGACACTAAGACATATTTTATTGTGCTTATCAATTTTTTAAATAAATTAAACCTATTGATATTCTTCCAACAATAATTATGTATGAAAGGAATAAAGGAAATTAAGGAAGATGGTTAGGATGCTTAAAAAAATCATATTAACTAATTTAACTAATATTCTTAATTTACTCAAATTAATTTATTAGGTTTTATATTAAAAACCATATGAGTATTTTTGAAACAACACACGTCTTTAAATCCTGAAATTTCACTCTATTATATAAAAACAAGTATATCCAACATTTTGATTTTGCAAAATATTGTTCTTCTTCTTTACGTCTTAGAAAAAGTAATCAGCTGGGGTCTTGGAGAATGCTTATTGTATGCATAAAAATTACAAAAATGTAGAAAATAATTCATTTAAGTGCAGTAGGCATTGATAAATTTGTTTTAGGAGCCAATGGGACGAAGACAGATCGAACAAACAGAATAAATCCAGAAGTATATTTTCTTTTTTCTGAGAGCATCTAAGAGGGTGTTTGGCTATCTCCTCAAATCATGATTTGGAAAAAAATTTGCCAAACACCCCTCAAAAATCTCAAACTATAGTTTTGCCCCCCAAAACTTTGGTTTCGGATAAAGCCACGGAGGAGTTGCTTCTGCTTGAAATAATTGAACATTGGTGATGGGGCCATGGTGTGGTTCTTTAATTTTGTGAAAAAAAATTATGGGGTTTCTTCATCTTTAAAATATTTAAGAAATAATTATATTTTTTGTTGGCAAAATAAATTATTTTACAAAAAAATATATTTACTTATTTTATTAATATATATATACGTTTTAATTTTTTTATTTATATTATTTATGTCTTATTTATTATGTTGCCAAAATATATATTATTAACAAATTTATCACTTCAAGTAAACACATATTATGAAATATATTTTATATGTAATTATCATTTAAATTTATATCATTTTTAGTAATTTCTACATATAAAAAAGCATTTCTAACAACAACTATCCAAACACTCTCACTTTATCAGAATCACTTTTTCAGAAAATCTATTTTTTCAAAATCTATTCTCTCCGGAATCTATTCTCCAAATCATGGTTTGGCTTCATCCAAACACACCCTAAATTCAGCCACTTGCCAACGCCACGTTTTCCGCTATCATTGGTGGAACCGGGGAACAGTTGGCCCGTGCGCAGGCTGGAGGGGTGAGTGTAACAATATCTTTGGCTCAACAGAAAAACAAAAATCACGCCCGCCGTCTGTGGGGATCGAACCCACGACCACGTGGTTAAAAGCCACGCGCTCTACCACTGAGCTAAGACGGCCTGATAATCGCGTGAGCAAACCTATATTATAAGTTGATAAATTTCATCACATGGCTTCTTTTCCCCATCACCTGTAAATATTTTTTAAAATTTTGTTTGAATAATAATAAATTAAAAACTCGCTAAATAGATAAATTTGGAATCTGTCAAAGATGTTTAAATTTTAGTTAAGGTAAAAAAGAAAAGAAAAGAAAATCAATCAACGTACACCCACTGTTATTTTTTTTGTCATGCCTTTTTTTAATTTGAATGAATAAAATAATTATTGAAATTTTTTATGAACAAAATCAAATTAGTGTCAACTTTCCTCCAAGTAATTAAGGATGAAGGTTTGTTTACATTAATCATGAAATTTTTTCCAACTAATTATGCAATTTATTGATTGAACAACTACAAATTTTTTTATGATCAAATTTGACTAGAAAAATATTAATTAAATTATATAAATGAGGGATAATTAATCTGTAAGTCCTTATAGTTTTAACTAATTTTGAAGTAGATCCTTATAGTTTTTTTTTATCAAGTCCTTATACCTTCACCTTTTTTTAATTAAGTCCTTATATTTATTTTTCTTTTTATCAAGTCCTTATAAGTTTACCTTATTTTTAATTAAGTCCCTGAATTTTTTATTCTTTATTTTATAAATTCTAATATTACTATTCTATTACCATAAAATAGTATATATTATTTAATATTAGTTTATAAACTATAATATTCTAAAAACAATGAATTATTATAATAATTTTATTTTTTGCCAACAAAAAAATATTAATTGTTCTAAAAAAATTTCCTGAATTAATTAATTATATTACTTATTTTTATTATATAATTAGTAATTTAATTTCATTATCAATATTTTATATTTCAGTATTAATCTATTTAATTAAGTTTATATTTAATTAATAAATGAAAATTAAAACTACATGGACCTGATTAAATTTAGTGAAATTATAAGGATTTAATAAAAAGAAAAATAAATACAAAGACCTAATTAAAAACAGCTGAAAGTATAAGGATTTTATAAAAAAAAAAAACTATAGAGACTTAATTCAAAATTGGTTGAAACTATAAGGACTTACAGATTAATTAACCCTATAAATAAAGCTTTTCATATGTTTCTCTCTCATTAGAGCAGGAGGAAACCCTCTAGATCCTGGCTTCTCCCCACAACCCCCCCCCCAAATAAACCCTTTTTTTGTCGTTGGTTCTCTTCGCATTCGCGCCGCTTTCCGATTAACGTGGCAACCTCTTGATTTGTGATTAACCGCACTTGACTCATCTTTTCGACTTTCCCACTTGTCATAAATAACTTTATAAACAAATGATTAACCTGTAATTAAATGCTTCTGTTCATATCGCTATCGCCAGACAAGCCCACTGATCGGTACAAGGGTCTCTGACCATGTAATTGGTCCCTGGTAAATTTTGCCAAGCCTAGGTAACAAAGATTTGTTGGATGCACAACTCAACAGGAATCCCGTAAAATCATGGCTTTGGCAACAAAAAAAAAAAAAAAACCATTAACGCGGGGGTTGAAGGAAAAATGGGTGAATATGACATGCCAGTACAAGTCAAGGCATTATTTCACAAACTGTTCATTTTTCAAAAAAGAAAAGAAAAATAGTACTCCTCCGGTACTTATTATATGACCTAATTATTGAGTTAATTTTACTCCTAAATATAATACCTATTTTTTTATATTTATTAGTTTTTTTTCCTAAATTACATCTATAGATCTCCCTTAACCACAATCAAGTAAAAAAAAAAAAAGATATTAAGAAAGATGATTATGATGTTTTAAAAAAAATGTGTTATTTTTATAACTAACTAACTTAACTAACTTTCTTAATCTAATCAAATTAATTAAATAGATATTATATTAAGGAATAGAAGAACATATTCTTCAACGAGTGTTATTATATATTTTCGCTCCGATACCAACGGGCGACGGCGTATAAAAATGACAAGGGAATGGGAAGTCTCTTTCAATAAACCCAACACCCCTACCCTAACATTACCGAGTACTAGAACAGCCCGGCCTCACAATCCCTATCTAGCTTGGGAAGGGGTTTCCCTTCAGTGGTGTTATAATTTGAGATGCAGACGGATTGAGATTTATGAAATCATGTGATGCCGACACAGCACGCATGCGAGTTTAAAATTCCAAAATTTCTGAATCACAAACGTTCCTTCATATCCTAGCAATCCTTATCTCCTTTCACTATACTCATACTGGACCGGCACCATCGCCACCAACCCTAGAATTCAGATTCAACATCTGATTAAAGAGAATGGGCAGGGTTTTCCCGAAAAGGCCGCCGATGCATACTCATTTTGCCCCATCAGTCAGTCACATTTAACGTCCAAAAGAATCATACGAGGCCCCTTCAGTTTTAAAAACAAAAAACAAAAGCGATGCGAATGTAGTCCTTGACTATGAGATATAAGAAACCTTCCACTGCCTGGAAGTGGTAAAACAAGATATATAAAAGAATGCAATGTGAAATAAGCTTTGAGACAAGGTAAATGAAAATCTGTCATTTTACTAACTTCCATATTTCCAGTGGGAAAGAAAAAAGAGGTACCAAAGTAAATCGGATCAACAAAATTCCCCATTTTTCTCAGGCTTGCAGAACAATGTACAAACAACTCACTGCTCTGCCTTTATGAAATGAGGAGCCAGTAACTTCGAAACTGTGAAACCGTTGAAGGAGTCAACATCGAAGAGTTCTTTCAGCTTCTCATCACAGATTATAATCCTCTTGTCAGAAGGATCCTTCACAAGAGCAAAGAGTAATTTTACTACTAAGGTGTGTAGATTAAAGAGAGGAAGGGAATAAGAGAACGTTCAACGAATTAAGAAAGTCAAGTTCTAGCTGGCCTTTCATATGCAGATGGAGTTTTCTGTCAATTATTAAAATACGAAAAAGAAGGATCAAGCATGGTTCTCAGCAAGTGTAATCTCAATTATCAATGGTCGGCAGAGTACATTTCAGGCCCAGCGGTTTCATGGATAATGTGTGCTCAAGAAAATTTTCATAAATGTTAATTAATCAAAGAAACATTGAAACCCCTCAATCTCTTATAGTTCCTGCATAAACGGTCACAAATTCGGAGAAGTTCAATCTCTTGTATTTCCAACCAAACAAAAGTCAGAACTACATCGAGCAGGAGTGGCTATAGAAAGAGTGGAGGAAAATTTACAAGCTTGAATCTTTCTTTTTCCCAATAATTCCAAATATTTCTAGTTCCCTTCTATTTTACAAGATATACACCGAACATTGATGCAGAATAAAAAATATTGGTTAAACGATTTATGGGAAGTTGAAATCCTTTCCCATAAAGCATCTTGAATGAAAGATACTTTGTCAGCATCTTTTGTGAAGTCCCCCTTCACATGAAAATTCCAGCTTTCTTATCTAGAAGAAATCACTCATATGAAATTCCCCCTTATTATCTAAATGAATCAAGTTTTCCCCCCCTATCAACCAATAATTCTACCCCTAATAACTATCACGGCAGCAAGGAACAGATCACCAAATCAAAACTAATTACAGGATAGATATAGGAATAGACAATATAATTTTAATCAAACTTAACTAATATTTTAGTAACAGAGATATTTTTAACTTAAGTTTAACACGATTTAAGTGGACAAATCTACAGAGCCAGAACAAACACAGGCCTTCCCGTTGGGCAAACCTTATTTCCGTGGACCTGACCAAGGATCATATGCTCAACTCCTTAATATTATTTTGTTCAGCCAATGGGCTATGATGATTGAATTAAAAATTTTCAACTTCCTCACGTGACAGATTTAAATATGTTGGAAAGACTGTTAAAAATACTGCTGAGTGACAATTTAGAGGTATGACAAACCTGAAGGTTGTTTCCTTTTATGTAATCCCACATTCTTTTTATGACATCAGAACGTGATAATGCATTTTCTCCAGTACCAAGGAAGTTTATAAGGGCATCAGATAGTTGAAGAGGAGCAAGAAACCCTGATTTTCCTCCCTTCTGTCGTTTTTCCTTTCTTTTTGGTTCATCTGGATCTGTAGTAAGGTATATAAAGAATGCCATAAATAAGCCAATGTTAATTGATTAGTACACTCTGTTAGACGAGTATGTATATATAAACACTATGACCACAAATTGATCATCAGTATACACATAACATTGATGGCTGGGCCATAAATAGATGGAATGTTACTAAATTCATCCCCCATACCTTCTTCTCTCTCTTGCTTCTTCTGCTTTTCCTTTGGTGCAGACTTCACCTGGATGACTATATTAATAGATGCCGTTTAATCAAAATTTTTAGTTGTCCATATAAAATTGACAAGAGGAATAAACAGTGAAGCTTGAGCCTTCAATAGTGTGGAATGTAACAAACACAGGGCTGGATACAAATATTGTACATCAGATATGGTGATATGTAACAGAAGTACGTAGCAAGAGCATACCATCATCGGAATCCAATGGCCAGATATGCTTTGACAATGCTTTATTCATTTGAAACATGTTGATGGAATCAACACCAAAAAGGGCACGTAATGGTTCATCACAAATTATATTCCGCCGGTTATTTGCGTCTTGCAAATTCTTCTCCCTTATATAGGCCCATAATTGCTTAACAACCTAAGGCCAACATTGTACATAGATGTGATAAGGTCATATCAGAACTACGTGAAATTAATTATTAAAAAATTCTAGGAATTACCTCAGTCCTTGCCATTTCTGGGGCACCGACGAATTCCTGAAGTTGTGGGGAAAGGCTACATAATTTGCAAAAACCACCACCTTTTCTACGCACCTCACTTCCTGAACTTTTAGATCTGAATCACAAGATTAAACAGCCACAGTTAAACATAGCACTCACTATTGAAAATTACTACAGTTGGGATCTTGTACTAGCGCATAATCTGCTCTATTTTTACATAATAGCATATATATATATATCATGCATTCTTCTCATAAGCACAAAGATACTAAGCATCACTGTATTTATGAATTTATGAATTATCATGAATAAATCAGAGGCAAAAGGTCAGTCACTGAATTATTTCTTGTGAAAAAAAATCAAAACTCTGTATGATTCTGACTAGCAAGAGAAGCCAAATCACGAGATTCTAAAACACCTGTAAATTGTTTATCTCTCTCTCTCTCTCTCTAACCATCTATAGGGTTTTGTTCTCTTTATGATCCCCAACATAAATATGTTTGTGCCAGAAGATAAATGAAGAAGAAGAGAAAACTACAAGCACATAATCTGCATGAGAAAAAAGATCCAACAAATGGTTCACTGAAACACCAACTGCAACAGAGAAACCATAGGAAAGGCTTAAAAATTGGCCATGTGAAAAACTCTTCATGAGTGAGGAGATGATTTTCCTCAAATTATGTTTGTAGCAAGCTGATATGCATAACACCAAGAATATTAGAAGAATTTTCTTCTAAACCAGACGCATGTTTAAGTCTGAATAAGAAAGCTATGACCGCCTGCACCTTTGGTAATGTATTAGCCATCTCTCGACTAAAGCCACTGAAAGCCAATGGACTGGATAGAGATGCATCTGCTTTTGAATATGTTTTCTTAGTAAAACTATGGGGGATCAGGAATGTAAAAACTACAATGCAAGATATAGACAAAATATTTTACATGTTCTTTTCTTTTTATAGTTTGGGGCAGGGAAGGAGTTTAACTTGGAGATTCCATAACTTAAAAAGGCACCTTCCGGAGCAATTCTCCTGCAGCAATCATGCAAGTGTATAAGTATAACCATTTTCACCACACGGATCTAACCATAGCATTAATTAGCAAAAATGGTTATATACATAGCTACGGAGAGGCATAAAAACCTTATTTCGTGTTCGTAAATTTTCTCAGGAATATTTTGGTGAAACAAATTACTGCAATAGAAAAGCATTTTGATTGAGCAAGCTGAAGAGGGGAAGCGAGGTAAAAATTTATTCAGTGGGAAATGCAGAGAGCCCGAAGAAAGGTCTTCTCGCTTTGCGTCTGTTTGTGTGCACGTAAAGCCCAAACCAACCCCTAATTTAACAATGATGAGGCACTTTGTAGAACAGGAACAACAAATGGCTGGAAGAGGCACCAGAATAGTGAAGAAGAAAGAACTATATCTCAACCTTTGCCAGTGCAGAGAAACCATAATATTCATTTTGTTAAATCACTGGCATTACCGTATAAGAAAAGCATAACTAGATTTTCCTGTTTGATGGTGCAAAAGAATAAGATTAGTTTGCACACAAAGACTAAAATTTAACGCTTTTTCTTCGAGTAAACCTGTAATGCAAGCAACCTCGTTAGTAAACTTCGAATGCACACAAATTTCAGAATAAGAAGAAATAGTTTAGCATCAAGTGGACCCCAGTTATTAAGAATAACTCACGAAACCATGTACGCAAGTCATCGCCACAATACTTGTGAATTTCAACTAAAATGGGTATTTAAAATATGAAAATAGCTTCTCAGAGCCAACTTGTAGGCGCATCATGTGCAACACAATACATGCGGATTATAATGCAGCAGACTACAAATTGGCAGCGAGCTTGTGCCAGCATGTTGGGCCCCAAACACTTCTAATTTTAATGGGGAAAACACTAATACTCGCATAACATACTATGAAGTAGCTTCATCTGCAGATTCATAAGAGTTAAAGGACCAAAAAAAAGCAAATTTAAAATCTAGGGAAAGCATAATCAATCAATAAAAAATAAAAAAAAAACTAACCGTCGTCCTCTGTCCTTTCCATTCCTGGAACGCTTTACTTTATGTTCATCTCCTTCTTCATCGTCTTGCATTTCATCATTCGAATCTTCGCTTTCTTCTGATTCATGCTCCGGTTGAGGCCCGTCTTTTTGATCTTCTTCATCTTCCGGTTCTTCAGGTTCCTCGGGTTGCTCGCGCTCGCTTTGAAGGAACAAGTCGACCTGCTCCCTAATAAACGCCTTCCTATCCGATAAATCGATTCCAAAATCCTTCTCCAACTGGCGGCGGACCGTAGCAGTGGTGGTAGTGTTGAGGTCGGAGCAGCGAAGAAACTCCCGGAGCCGACCGATGAGCTCCGATTCGGATACCATTGGGAGGGGGAAAAGCCTTCAGCTAGGGGAGGGTGCGACTGAGGTTGAAGTTAGTGGACAAAGGGAAAGGGACCAGAGACGATTTCGGAGACGAACAGAAATGTATATGAAGATTGGGAGGGCGAAGGGGGGCGACACGAAAGGAAATAAATGAAAATCCTCTCTCTCTCTATCTGCGCCTCTGCCCTCTTTCTCGTTACTCGTTAACGATGCCACTGCGCGGGCCTGCCTTCCTCTCACGTGCCTCTTTAATAGAGCTTTCCAACGAAAGACAATTTAACCGCACATTTGCCCCGTCGCTTTTCTCTAATTGCGTATCTGCCTCGCCTGCGGTTTCCAGTTTACGGGTTCTTGCCCTTTTTCCTTTCTTCTTCTTCTTTTTTTTTTTTTAAAGAAAAATGTCGAATTTCAGATTCGTGATTCATTCTGACTTTATTTTCAGTTGTTTATGTCGCAATTTTTTCACGTCTTCATTAATACCTCTTGTAATCTTCGATATATTGGGATCTTATTTCATATTGATAATTTCAAATCTTGCATATCGCAGATTTTTTTAACTAGTTCGCTCTTTTTATATGTATATATACTCCTCCGGTTTTTTATATAAGATCTATTTAACTAATTTGATTAGATTACGAAAGTTAGGTAAGTTAGTTAATTATAAGAACTGTGACACATTTTTCCTAAAACATCATAATCATCTTTCTTAATATTCCTTCTCCTTTTTGTATTTGATAATTTAGAGAAAATTGATAAATATGAGAAATAAATCTTATATTTAGAATCAAAATTAACTCAACATTAGATTATATATTAAGGATAAGAAGAGTATATATATTTCGGTGGGGCCTGGGGGGGTGGGGTTTCAAATCTTCCGCTATATGTTAAACTCTGGTTCTCAATCTATAGATAAGATAATGCATGTGGAACAACTGAATAATCCTCTGGTATTTGATAAATTATTAGTTACAGACATGAGTTTAGTTCAAATGTTTCTTTTTTTTTTTTGGTAAAGAAATTTTGGAAAGGGGTTGGGCTCACCCACGATCCAAGAGCAGGGCGAAATCTCCCTTCCTCCTAGGTCATACAATGTTGGGCAGGGTAAGCCGTCAATTACCCTCAGGCGTTTACCTAGACACTCAGGAGCTAGGAGTTAGGATGCCTCCCCAAGCACCGCGACTGGAATCACAATAAAGTGGTACTCCCCAGAGATCGAACACATACCAATTGATCATATGTCTCACCCCTTCACCAATTGAACCCACAGACGATGGGTAGTTCAAATGTTTCTTTTGGGGGTATAATATAAACACAATAAGCAATTCATCTGTGATTGGGCGCGGGTGGGCCGAGTTAGTGGATCACGAGGATGAATTTATTCAGAGCCCAGATTTACGCTATTATTTTGTTACGTGTTTTATTGCTGTCGGTCTGGTGTTCACGTCTCTCTGCATTTTTAGGTTCGCTTGGCATGAATAATTAAAAATAAAGAATACGAACTGGGATTACAATTAAAAAAATATTTAGTATAGTAATTACTTGTTATATAAAATTAGGTAAACTCATGAAGGTTGGATTAGAGAATATTATATATTCTCATGGTATTCTCCAATCTCACATAAGTAGGTTTGTTTAATCCCATTAATATATAATTTTTTATGCTGAACAGTTTTTAGTATATTTTTTTTAATTCGAATTCGAATTCTAATTCTTACGTTATATTTTTGATATTTCGTATCAAACATGACTTTAAAGTTCTGTCTTTCTTCTTGATTGCTTTAACTTGGATTTAGCCTATTGTTTTTTTTTTAATCTCCATATTGATGGTATATATTTCACGAGTACATCATTCTTAGAGAAAGATATGAGAGGCATTGTCTTGTTCCTTGCTTTGTTATGGCTAAAAAACCAGGCAGTTCTCGCTTGCCTGACTTCTCTTTCTTCTTCACAGATCTGTACACGCAGTCACTCCTTGGTTTTCCTTGAAACTGCAAATTATACCTTTCTTCTAATATCTGTAGCTCCACCAACTTAACTCTCATACATTACACATATGTGCTTGAACGCAGCCATGTCAGCAACAGCTTTTCAAAAGGAACATTTCAAAAAAAAAAAACCGCTAGAGATTTCCCTTTTTGCAAAATATAAAAATCCTCACTCAGCTCCTATACTTTTTTTTTATTTACGTAGTACAATGAAATGCTCGCACACAAACAAATGTGTTAGCGTCAGATTTAGATCCGAGATCTCATTCGAGCGTGATGGAGTAACATTGTTACCGGGATAACTAGCTGTGAGTTTTTCAAAGAGTTTTATTTTTTTAATTTCAAGCTTAACTTTTGTTTTGATGGGATCTTAAGTCCAATGAATAATAGGTTAGGGAATTTTTTTTTGTTAAAAACTTTCATTTTATTTTCGTTTGTAACCTTGGTGACATTTTTTGTGATCCTTTCACCTGTAATATTCATCCGAAAGATTCCTAATTCAGAAATTCTTAAGGCTAAAAATAATGAATGGCTCGAAAGCAACACAAGTGCTCATATCCACGTGTTCCATGCAAATTTTTTAGCATTCTAGCGATTCAGGCATCATGCGACTATCCCAGCTCTCCTGTTTTGTAATGGCCGTATGTGTTATTGTGGGTTGTAACTCTTGTTAATAAATGTTCCCTCCCTTCACTCTTCTCTTTAAGGTGTAACCACTGTGGCATGCTTGGAACCTCTATCACCCTTCAGAAAAGAGCAAGCAACTGGAGAATCATTTGAAAAGGGAATAATACTCATAATAACAATTTATCATGAAGAATATCCATGTATATATATTTATACATAACAAAATATATAAAACTAGTTCCGTTTCATAAAACAGTATAAATTAAATATACAAAATAAACATGCAAATAAATTTTTTGTATATTTGCTAAAAATATAATAAGAATAAAGGTTAATACCATTTTTACTTTATGAAATATGACCTTGCTTTGGTTTTGGTCTATAAAATTTTAAATCATTGATTTTGGTGTCTAAAATTTAATTTCATTTTGGTCTGGTTTAAGACTTTTGATCACTGTAAATAAGATTAATTTCAAAGAACAAAACTAAAATGAAATCAAATTTGAAGGACCAAAATTATTGATTTCAAATTTCAAAAATAAAATTAAAATGAAATCAAATTTTAAGGACTAAAAATGATATTAATCTCAAATAAGTGATAATAGTTATATATTTTATTTCCTCCAATGTTCCACTCTGATTAAAGTCTCTACTTTGTTTTGAAGGAAAATCGTGGAGAATCTATGCCCACCTGATCAACAGGTCTCCAAAGTGGCAGCCCAAAAATACATCCAATTTGGACTGGATTCGTATTCTCGTCGCCTGAATCGTCAGATTTAACGAGCAGCACGGGGAGAGGCGCAGGGAAATGATTCTGATGCGCCGCACGGGAACACAGCGAGGAGCCGCGCCAAAATCTATCCAATCAAGAGGCGTCGTCCGGACGACTTTGCCAAAGCCCAAAGAAGCCCAAGCTCAAGTGGATGACACTGACCGTTGACAGTGACGCAGAAGCCATTCAACAAGCAAACGTTTTTAGTAAAAATTTAGGGAAAAGAAAAAAAAAAGAAGGGACGAAAAATAGAGGCAAAGAGAAAGGTTGCAATGTCGCTCGCCGGGCAACAAGCACAGCCGGCGTCATCTTGAACCTAAACACGCTGAAACGGTGCCGTTTGCCCCTCTTTCCTCCGGTTTCTGTCAGGAGCAGGCGATCACCCACCCACTTTTTTTGTTTTTCTTTTGCGCTATTACTTCCCTCCGGCATTCGCCTGCCAATTTCCACGATTCCCACTTCACAAAGTCTCCACTTCTGTCCTTCTTATCAACTCATAAAGGCAAAGGAGGAAAGCCGCTCCCATCAACTTAAAGCCTTTCTCAGCACCTGGTCAAGTTCCACAAGTCCGATTCCTGAACCATTTTGTCCAACCGATTAATCGTCGATCGTCGTCCTGTTGTTTATCTTCTCTACACTGGAACCAGAAACTACTGTACCGACATCGTGCTTCTAATGTGACTTGGCTTTTCTTTTTGTTGCACGGTAACGGTTCTTCTCAATGGATCCGTCGCCGATAACCTTGGGACCAACCATGGACATGCCAATCATGCACGATAGCGACCGGTACGATTTCGTCCAAGAGATTGGGTCCGGGAATTTCGGGGTGGCCAGGCTGATGAGAGACAAGCAAACCAAAGAGCTTGTCGCCGTGAAGTATATCGAGCGCGGGGATAAGGTTCGACCCGGAAACGTTACACCGTGTTCTCGTCTTTTCTTTTTTTGAACGAAAGAATTAACTGTGAAGATGAAAGCGTTCTCGCTTCTTTCTGTCAAGTGATTGTTTAGTCATTAGCGAGTTGTTGGCTAGTGCTTTTATGGTGTCGTGCGTTACTGCTTCCTACTTATAAGGTGTGTTCGGATTTTCGTTTTTGTTTCAGTTCTGGAGTAGTTACGATATTAATGACTGGTTACTTTTTTTTTCCTCGCCTTTTCCTTCTGCCCTTTTCACTATTTATTTCCATAGTACTGATGACTTCTGTCGAGGAGAAAATAGTTGGATATGGAAAGATTTTTTTTTTCTCCTAAGATTAACTAGAACCTGATGCAGGTTAATTATTGCATATCGTGGTATTGAATAATTGTTTCCGTTTGAGGAATTAAGAAAAAGACGAGGGAGTTAAATTCACTGTTCCGTTTTATTTAATTCACTGAAGAAATAAAATTGCCATTGTCGTGACACTCAAATTCACCTTTTACCCTTTTTATCAGACGAACCTGTGGGTATGAAGGGCAAATTGGCCTGTTATAGTATATCACCTTTCTGATAAAGAACTTACTTGGATGAGAAAAATCTTTGATTTGATGTAAGAGGTTTAACAGATGGTGGAATGCTGTTGATGAAAAATATGTCATTTGCCAAAAATCGCCGGACTGGCAATTATGAAGCTTGTGATTGTGGTGGACTTAAGCTTCAAACATTCAACATGGAAATGTGAAACAAAGAATGTTTTTGTTGTTCAACTTTAATGCTTTGAAAGTTGACCTTTGTCATGCAAAATTGGTTGTCAGCCTTTCTTTCTTTCTTTTCTTTTTGAGTTGAACTTCTACTTCTGACCGATAGAGTGGTCAGCTGATCTTTTTAAAATCATTTATGTGAATCACAGATAGATGAAAATGTAAAGAGGGAAATTATCAATCACAGGTCTTTGAGACACCCTAATATTGTTAGGTTCAAGGAGGTTAGTACAACTCTATGCCAACATCTGTTCAGAGTAGAGTTAGTTTCAATCGACTAAACGTTCTGCAAAATTTCACCCAGATCATTTTAACGTCTACTCATTTGGCCATTGTTATGGAATATGCATCTGGAGGTGAACTCTTTGAGCGAATCTGCAAGGCAGGGCGCTTTTCTGAGGATGAGGTTTTTATTCAATTTCTTTCCCCCTACTTCTTTCATTCATTGTCGAACAAATTCCTTCTTTTGATATGCTATGTTTCTACCTTGTTGACCCATGTTTATGAACTAGGCTCGTTTCTTCTTTCAACAACTCATTTGTGGGGTCAGTTATTGCCATGCGATGGTAATTAAATTCCTCATCTCCATTCATTCATTTCAGCTTAAAATTGTATTTGACCCCCACAAGAATGATATATACATAACTTTAATGGATTGGTCTTCATTGTTTTATGTCTCTGCATGAAGCAAGTATGTCATCGGGACCTGAAGCTGGAAAACACATTATTAGATGGAAGTGTAGCACCTCGTTTGAAGATATGTGATTTTGGTTACTCCAAGGTAAGACTATATTTATGTCCATTTATATTTTACTGGGTAATTTTCGGTTGAATATTTCGCTTTCAAGTATTGCATTTTTCTCAGTTCGTTTAAGAATACATTTGTCTGTGCTCATTATCAATGTTAGTGCATTTTCCTTCTACCTGTACTAGCATTTTTCGAATTGATGCCTCCAAAATACTTCTGGTGTCACATAGGTTGCGGGGTGTTTGGCAACCCTTAGAAGTGCTTCTTAGAAGCACTTTTCCGCAAAACGAGACAAACTCCTCCACATATTTATTTCGTAAACCGTAAAAGCACTTCTGAAACCATGGTTTGGTTTCCATCCAAACACCCCCAAAGTTTTGTTGTCTTGTGTTCTGAGGTCCATTGGAATTGAGATGGAGCTTGCAATGCACATGCATTAGCACCTTGAGGTCCTTGAATTTTTTTTTGTTTGGGTCCTCTTTGTTTATAATTTCAACATCCTTATGTTTCGGAGGCACCGAAAATATGCACTTTATCTACTTTGGGTTTCTACTAGTGTAGATAATGAACACTATTCTACTGTTGAGTTGAGGTTTTTGGATCTATCTATAACTTACTAGCCTATTAGATGTTGTTATTGACAGTCATCAGTGCTTCATTCACAACCGAGGTCAACTGTGGGAACTCCTGCATATATTGCTCCAGAAGTATTGCTGAGGCAAGAGTATGATGGCAAGGTAGGCTAAACTCTAGGATGATTTTCTTGTTCTATCTACATCGAAGTACTCCTGTCACTATTTTGGTCTGGCTAGTTATTGACTTGTGGTGATTTTAGACCAACTTCCGTTATTAGTTATAACTATTCGTACTATATCCAGTGGTCATTTTTGTGTGGGCCATGATGAAACAAAGGTCAAGCCTTTCTTGTTAAGGTCTATTCTTTCTTACTTGTGTGATTTGGTCTGTATCATGTACAGATAAGCCAAAGTGTGAATTGGATGTGACTTTGATCAGACATTTAATTTTCTTTGTAACGTCAGTAGTGTTTGTTTTGGATAATTAATGGGTTGCTATTGTGTTGCCGTGCATTTGATATCAGATTGCAGATGTCTGGTCTTGTGGAGTGACCTTATATGTGATGCTGGTAGGATCATATCCTTTTGAAGATCCTAATGAACCAAAGGATTTTCGAAGGACTATACAGGTAGACTGGACATTTAGATGATTGCATGTTTCTTTGTGAGTAGTGGTAGGTTGCTTGAGTTACAACTTGTTATGTTTGTATCATTGCAGAGAATTTTGAGTATCCAGTACTTCATTCCAGACTTTGTCCAAATATCACCTGAGTGCCGCGACCTTATCTCTAGGATATTTGTTTTTGATCCTGCAGAGGTTAGTGTTTATTTTCCAAGAAGTGATCTAGTTCTACATCTAAGCAAGTTGATGGCCTCTTCGCATTCTCTGAGGAATTTGTCATGTAGATTCTTTTTATATGGACTTGAACTTCTTTTTAGCTGTAGGTCTTTTCTTCTAGCAATCTATTTGAGCTTGTTGGTGCTCAAGCGACGTTTTTGTGTCCTTTCTCCATGAGAAATCTTGCTATTTAGATGCTTCGTATCTGCTATCATATTGGGCTCTGCTACACTATATTTGCGCTGTTGCTCATGTTTAGCATGATGTATGAACTTTTAGAATGACGAGTGGGTTTTCTGTCTCTCGTTCTCTGTTTTTCTTTCTTTTTCCCCCCTTGTCAATCCTCTTGGAAAAATGTTTCATTGGACACAATATGCCCCCATTTCTTGTTGCTCTTAAATGCTCATTTTGTAAACGCTAGCTACTGTTATGATCTATTGTTTTACCACGTGCCTTTGTTAATGAGAATTTCTTGATGTTATATTTTTACTAGGACTTTTGGTGGGTTAGCCTCATTTGTTATTTGAGGGAGGTAGTAAAATGTGATTATAAATAATCACCCAAGAAAGTTGAATGCTTATCATGAGTTTGACCTCTTGATTGTAGCAGATAGAAATATAACTTGTGCGATTGCCTTGTTAGTTTAATTATTGATTTGCACCTTATGCTTTTGGTATATGACAGAGAATCACCATTCCTGAAATCTTGAACCACGAATGGTTTTTGAGGAATCTCCCCGCAGACCTAATGGATGAGAAGATACTGGGAAACCAATTTGAAGAGTCAGACCAACCAATGCAGAGCATTGACGTGATCATGCAGATAATTTCAGAAGCTACTATACCACCAGCTGGGACCCGTTCTTTGGATCAGTTTATGGCAGACTTTGAGGGAGATGATGGCATGGATGAATTAGAGTCGGACTCTGAGCTTGATATTGAGAGTAGTGGGGAGATAGTGTATGCCATGTGATTTTAATTCACCCGCTAAATAGGTGAGAGCATCGAGATGATGATGGCATGGCATGTTGTGCTCATGGGCTCGGCAATGTCTGGAAAGAACTATGTGATGAAAGCATTTTCCCATAGAGTAGAATGGTTAATACGCATAGGAATATTGAATGTTTGTGTGCACCTCGCTGTTGGCGATGTGTATAATATCTATCAATGTCACTTGGAACTTGGAAGAGTAACTTGTTTCCTAGGGGTGATAAGAGTTGGTGGTCAGGGGAAGAAATGTTATCAACCTTGTATCTCCCGTTTCTCTTCGATACTTGCCTCATATGCTACTATTTATGTATCTATACTCCCATGTAAACAGTCTCTATAAAACATTTCTAAGCACTGTCGATGCTTATATGCCCTGCATGTAAGGGAAGGAGGGGAGGGGAGGTTTCATCCTCACCTTATTTGGTTTGATTAAAAAAGAGGGGAGGGAAAGGTATTTAATGATCCTTTGTTTGGTTCAAAGAGGGAAAAGGAGAAATAGTAATAATCAATTTACTATTTTACCCTTACATATTAGTTTATGTTTTTTATTGATATATTATATAAATTAATTTACATCTTAATTTAAATCATATAATTTAATAAAAATTCAGTCTTATCATGTTAATATGTGTATTAAAAAATTAGTACAGTATTTTTTATTCTAATTAATATAATAATATATTTAAAATAATCAAATTAACAAATTTTATATGCTCTAAGAAAAATGAAATTTTATTCTCTTTAGGCTATCTTTTTTTTCAGCTTTAAAATATATTTAATAAATAATATATTATAAAAAACAATTAATTTTATAATATTATAATTTTTTATTTAAATAATTTTTTATTTTTAAATAATTTTTATAATACATTTTTAATTATAATAATGTATATATATTTTTATTTTTTTTACTTAGGATAATATATTTTTTATTTGAAATAAATATTATAATAATAAATTTTATGAATAGAAGTGGAATATTAAAAAAACTATAAGGGTATAATAATTCAAAATTTTAGCTCTCCTCCAAAAACCCTCAATTTGGAGAGGAGTCAAAAAGGGGGGGAGGGGAGGGGACATTTTAACTCCCTCCTCTCCAAAATTTTTAACCAAATGAGGGGAAGGGATCATTTCCCCTCCCCTCCCCTCCAACCAAACAAACCCTTAAAGGATCGTTAGGAGGGAGGGAGCTCCATGAAAGCTAATTCAAGTTTCTTAATTGACCAAAAAGCCAATTTAAGTTAAAATGATTATCATTTCTGGTCGTCTCTATGCTCGGTGCGAGAGCTGAGGGATCGAAATGTTCTCCCCATGAGATGGCTATTTCTTCATCGCATATAACCTTCCGCAGCTTCTTAAGTAAGGTGACAGAGGCAGGCAACTCAGACAACCTTGAACAACCCATCATGTAGAGCTTTGATAGATTACTCAAACCACCAATGTCCGCCGGTAATCTTCGCAGGCTTATGCAGTACGACATGTCAAGAAGGCTAAGCTCTTGAAGCATTTTGATTGAATCGGGAATGTCTACCAAATCAGTACAGTTATTAAGCCTCAGCACTTGCAATTTCCCTAGCTTTCCTATATCGTGGGGCAGCCCGCAGAAACTATGACAGTTTGTGATGCTTAGCTTTTCTAAGCAAGTAATGTCACAGAATCCAACAGGCAGTGTCTTAAAATCTTTGCAATAGTCAATGCTCATATCCACTAGATTTGGCAGTGCATCCCTAATACTGGCATCGCTTCTAAAAGCCTGACTCGTACTACACATGTAAAGGGATAATTTTCTAAGGTTCTTAAATTTGCAAAGGGAAGGGACGGAAACTCTCTGCAGCCGTATTCTCTTCAGGTTGGATAGAGAACCAAGTAGCTCAAAACCGTGTAGTTGAGAAGGATGGAAGCTATAGTTTATGAGAATTAGAACTTTGAGTTTCCTCATATACCTGATGAAACCTGGTAAGGTGTAATCGTTACCCCCAATATTTAGCACTAGAGCCTCCGCTCTATACGGTTTCATGCTCCACCATTTTGAAGTGAAGGCTTCACCTGCGCAAGACGGCAAGGCCATTAGCGAAATGGAACTTTCATCTAAAGCATTTTTGTTATGTAAAGAATAAAAATCTCAAGTACTGTTAGTTTTCCTCAGGTATACTTCTTAGATAGTCACATGGCTCGGGGTGCCAATAACAACTCATCAAAGTGGGTGCTAGACTGTTAGTGGACCTCAACATTTACAACACCCACTTTAGTGAGTTTTAAATGACTATTTGCGTTATGTGAAGTGTATCTAAGAATTTCTCACAAAAAACAAGTGACTCTGCTTGTATAGAGGGAGATCAAACCGGATGATATAGAGACTGAGCGGGCAGCGACTTGTTTTTGCTTCAGCATAATAGACAATTGTTGAGATATGCCAGAAATGACACCTCCCTTCTTTGGTTCTGACCACAATTCAGGATTGTTATTTTTATTCAAGTCAATAATCAGGTTTTCCCTCTGTTCCAATGGCTTCTCGCTGCTCAGATGAACAGCTAGATCTCTGAGAAGATCATGCTGCATCAGGAAGTAGTTATTGTAGTAGTTGTCTGCTTCATTCGCCACTTTCCTGGTCAAAGCATCACGTATTAATTTGATTTACCAGAAGAGAACCAAATCACTACCGTCCTAATTAAAAATAAATAAATAAATAAGAGAAATTAAATGCAAGAACTTGTGTAATTTGTCCAAACCTATCAATGCTTAAACATAAGCAGGTTTAAAATTCAAGTAGAAGATACGTTGGCTGGCTATGTAACATATGTGGATGGCGTATTCAAGAGATAAGAAAAAGCCATGGTACCTGGTAACTACGACATTGGAAAGATTCCTGGATTAAATCGTAGATATATGGCATTGCACAGAACTCTTCATCTAGGTTATGCAGTTCTGTCCATATATCAAAGAGGGCGGAAACGGGGATCATCTGATCTTCAGGAAACAGGCCTAAGTCCATGAAGCATTCCTTGACAATGGGCTTATCCTCCAAAACATCCAAGCATTTCTCGAGGAAAGCAAGCACCTCATCATCTGAATCAAGAAGAGAACCGCGACGTTGCGACAATTCCTCTACCATGATTTGCCAGAACTCAATTGGCTTCCCACGAAGTTTGCTTCCAATAATTCGAAGGAACAACGGCAGACCCCCACAACATCTGACAGCCTGCATCTCAGTGAAAGCAGACAGTACAAGATCAGCGACTCTGAAGCGAATGGACTGGTTTTTTTTGGTTATGATTTTAGAGACGAAAAAGAGAAAAAACCTGGTCAGCAAGATCATTCCGAGGGCATGCGTCGTTTAGCTTAGCATAACGACGGAAAAGGGTCATTGAATCCTCGTGAGAAAGTGTTCCTAAGGGGTGTGAAATGCAGCCCCCCAACTGAAGGTTGACCCTTGATGTCACCAAAATTTTGAGGTCTGAAAGTGGAACATTAAACTTCTCGACAAGGCATTCTGATCCAGGCCAGACGTCATCCAAGACCAATATTATTGGACTCCCACCAACTTGTTTAAGCAGATTTCTCAATTTGTAACCTGGATCTTCATTGCTTTGAAATTCAGGCTTGGGTTGCCCAAAGTGTTCGAATAGTTTCTCTACAATGATCTTCAAGTTGGGCGTTTTTGAGAAGGTTGCAAAGATGTTTTTCTTGAATTTACCTAATCAGAATACCAACATAAGGGGATTTGTAAATCCAATAACATTTAAAAGAGATGAGAGGAAATAAGGAAGCTTACGTACCTAAAACCACAGGATCCCAACAGAGCTTTTTAGCCAGAGTGGTTTTTCCAGATCCTCCAAAGCCAGTCAAGTTTAAGAAGGGATCACTACCCTTGAGCAGGTCGAACTTCAATTGGTTCAAAAGCTTATCCAATCCGACAGTGAAATCTGGATTTTCAGGAGTACCATACAGGAGCCCAGATTGCTCAGAGGGGCTCATAGGAAGGTCTGTCATCTTCTTTAAGATCTCCTTCACATCCCTTGCCATCTGAGCTTGCACGTCAACGCTTAATGTCCGCCTCAATGATTCATCCCTTTCTTGAAGCTTCTTCTGGTAATAAGGAAAACACAGAAAGTTCCAAAGAGATTTATTGGAGTACCTGCGAACAAGCTCTTCCCCAGCTCGCATTTCTCTAGCCAGCCTCTCCACCTCTGCTCTTGGGCGATCCAATTCTTGGTTATGTCGTACTAAGTCATTTACCAGAGGACGCATAGCCTCCAACGTTGATGTGTTGGTTTGGAGGGTGCTGGTGTAATTTCGCCCCATGTTGATAATGTTGAAAATCCCTCTAAGCACCTCTTGAAATGCAGCTCCAAGGGCCGATTCTCCCGCCCCACCTGCCATAACTCCGAAGTCCACAGTCCACTCCCCACAATCACAGGTTTCAATTTCAAGAGCAGAGCAGGTGCGGCGGCAAAGGGAATGTCTGGTTTAGCTATTTCGCTTTCTCTTTTCTTAGTGAGTGATTTGTGCTTGGACTCTTTTATAACGCCATCGAAGCTTCCTGTCGAATTTCGCTTCAAGTTCAGAGTGTGAACATTGAAGCCTCCTTTTGAATTTCGCTTCAAGTTCAGAGGGTGAACATTGAAGCTTCCTTTTGAATTTCGCTTCAAGTTCAGACCGTGAACATTGAAACTTCCTTGGCTTTGCCTCTTGGTTCTTCCTCTGCTGCCATGGATGGCTTCGCCCAGTTCTGGCTCCAGTGACTTTGACTTCCCGCTGCATATGCGATCGTTTTCCATTTGAGTATATTATCATGTTAATCTAATCACGAAACTGAAAACAATTACGTTACAATTACTAGTTTACTACAATAATAGAATAGATTACTAATACATACAGTGGTTAATTAATAGAAAAAAGGGTTGCTCAAGTGGATGATCGCTTAATATACGCTCTTCTAGTGTCCATGTTTGAAATGGGGGGAAAAAACCCGCCAAAAGGCAGGACTGCATTCCGATACTTACCGGCGTGTTATCCTTGGAAACAATCATTGCTTTCACTGCTTGATATGAAAATTGATGAACTAATTTAAATAGATTAAAAAAATTAATTAAATTAATTATTTATAATAAATAAGTACTATATTTTTTAAAATATTTTTATTAATTATATGTATTAGTTATAACTATCAAAATTTTTAACATGTTCAATTATTATAAAGATTACCTTAATAAAAATGAATACATATAAAAAACAAAAATAGATTGGAGTCGTATTTTTAAAACTAAATTGAATGTTAAACTAGTTTTTATATTAAAAACTAAAATATAGTAGCAGTTAATTATTGTAGCAAGAATCTATGTCTAAATAGTTAAGAAGTCATAACAGATTTTTTTTTTGTTCATTGGATAAACAAAATGACAGATTAATAATAATAATTTAAAAGGTTAAGGTGTACCCAATATCCTAAAATATTTTATAATGTATGTAATATTCTGAAGTATTTTTTCAAAATATCTAACACTTCCCGCAATATTTTTTTTGCCTTGCTATGGATGCACACAAAAAATAGAGTGCATAAAAAAATACTTTAAAATACTGGATACACTAAAAAATATTTTAAAGACTGAAAATATTAAAAAAATATTTTAAAATACTAAATGCATTATAGAATAATTTAGGACGCTAAATGTACTCAAAAAATATTTTAAAATACTAAATACAGATTAATCTAATTAAAATAAAAAAAAAACAAAGCAGCGGGATGAATGATTCTTCCGCCCCAAACAATCAATCATCTAATGCCTTCCTTGCCTGACACTTTCGGGCTTCAGTGTATACCCAACACCAAAAGTTTGGCGCTTCAGGAGCGCAATTGGAATGATTATTATAATAAAAAGGATTAATATAATTGGCCTGCGTTCCATTATTGCTTTATCTCACAATTTTTTTTAATCTAGCTAGTGCACAAATTTTCTCGTTGATTAATTGTTTTCTGACAAAAAATACATACTCCTCCGGTCCTAATTATAAGACCCAATTGACTTATTTGAGGAGATTAAGGAAGTAAGTTAAGTTGGTTATTTATAATAAATAAGTGTTGTCATTCCTAAAATATCTTTGCTAATTACGTATATTGGCTAAAACTATCATTATTAGAAGGATTATCTTGGAAAAAAATGCATAAATATAAGAGACAAAATGGATTGGGTCTTATAATTAGGACCAATAAAAGTCAAATTGAGTCTTATAATAAGGATCGGAGGAGTATAATTTACCACCGGCCTCTTGGCCTAGTGGTGTGTGTGTGTGTGTGTTTGGGTGTGTGCGTGCGGGTTCGAACCCGCTCTTTGTATCACCAAAAAAAAATAATAATTTAAGTGTTTTAATAATTTTCTTTGATGCGGCAAATAATTTGTAGGCAAAACATGTGATTCCAAAGTTAGAAGTACTTCCTCCAATTCTTAATATAAAAATTGGTTTACTAATTTGATTAGATTAAAAAAATTTATTAAATTAGTTATTTGTAATAAATAGTACTATTTTTTAAAAATATTTTTACTAATAATATATATTTATTAGCACTATTATTTGATAAATGTTTAACATAGGTAATATCTACAAAAATTACTTAAAAAATAAATAAATATAAAAAATAAAAGATATTGAAGTTTTATATTTAAAAATAAATTGAATTTAAAAGACCAGGTAGCTTTGTTTATCTGGGAGAATGTTTAGATAAAAACTAAATTATAATTTTAAAAATAAACATGTGAAAATACTGTCTCAATTAAAAACATTTTGGCATTCTCAAACACCCCTAGCCCCATTTTGTTTCGATACTATCAGTCGCAAACAGAATTCGGAGCCGCCTCAAAAGTCAAAAAGTCAAACAAAGGGTCCCCTTATAGGGAGGTTTTTTGGGGAAAACAGGGAGGGAAAAGGTAACTTTGAGCGTAAGGAAAGGGACACGCGTCATTATATTACTAGACAGACTTGGCGAAATGTTATGATGGCCTAGTTACGAAGACATACCGGTTTTTCCCCAAGAAAGAGATTTCGTTTTTTTTTTTTTAATCTCTATATATTTATGATGCCTCGGTTACGTCAGAAAATTTTAATATATTTCGCGCATACTCTCATTTCATTCCCGGCTTGTTCTACCTCCAATTCTAAATTTTAAACTTGATTAATTTGATAAAATTAAAAAAATAAATTAAGTTAGTTATTTACGATAAATAAATGATTTTTTTTTAAAAATATCTTTAATAATCAGGTGTATTTGTTATAACTATTATTATTAGAAAAATTATCTTAAAAAAATATATAAATATGAAAAATAAAATAGATTGAGGTCTTATATTTAAAATCAAAATAAAAATCAAATAAAATCTTATATTAAAGACCGGACCAAGCATGATGTATCACAAACTCTCTAGGAGTCCATGATCAGAACTGTTGCGCCATGATCGAATTGGCGTATTATAAACATACATCTCAACGGTTAAAGAAATATTGAACATTTATTTTTGTACAAATCTCAGATTTAAATCCTGATACATGAATTTTCCCCCCGCTTTCAAGACGGAATTTCCCTTCTGTTCCTTGAACCACCACACGTTTATCGCAGGAATGACCTGACCACTAGACAAAGTGATGTCGTCTGGTGTACTGCGATGTCATCAAAAGAGAGCTGCATTTTTAAGCTCCTTGAAGCCAATCCAAGTTAATATCTGCTTTGGGCTGCTCTATAGTAAGATGAGGAAGATGATCTTCCCAGGATGCAGCTGTGTCTTCATCACATATCACAAGCGTTAAACGCAGGAGATTCATGACTGAGACTGGCAATTCACATCTTGAGCAACCCCTCATGTAGAGCTTTTCTAGATTGCCTAAGCACCCAAACTCCTCTGGTAGTTGCTTAAGGCTTATGCAGTCTGAGATGTCAAGATGGCTTAGCTTCTGAAGCCTTTTGATGGAGACTGGCATCTCTTCCAAATTAGAACAGGAACTGAGCCTCAGCACTTCCAGATTCTCCAGGCTTCCTATTTCTTTTGGCAGTTCAGAAAACTTGTGACAATTAGTGATACTAAGCTTCTTCAAGGGGTTAATTTTGCAAATATCAACAGGCAATTTCACCAGATCTTTACAGTAATCAATATTCAACTCCACTAGATTTGGCAGCGCCTCTGAAATGTCCATGGAACAACTTTCAAAAGCTGGCCATGTAGTACACATATGAAGCGATAATTTTTGCAGATTCATCAATTTGCACAGGGAAGGTACTGTAATCTTCTCCAATCTAATTCTTTTCAGGGCAGATAGAGAACCAAGCAACTCAAATTTGTTCAATTTGGAAATATGGAAACCGTAATTCGTGACTACCAGAACCTTAAGTTTTCTCATTTGCTTCACGAAATTTGGTATCGCATAATTGCTACTTTGAAGATTTAAAATCAAAACCTTGGTTTCATCAGATTCTATGTTGCACCATTCTGCAGTAGACGTGTCATCTGCAAAAGCATATGCAGCATCAGCTACGGAAGAGGATGAATGGCAAGCATTGGCGCGGGAGCAACATCTCATCAGAAATTTTCGTTTTCTGTATGTGCACTCAATATTATTTACATACACACAGAGGGAGGGAGGGAGAGACAGACCTGCATATATAGATAATGAGTGGGCAGTAACTTGCTGCTGCTTCTGTTCCATCCACCATCCAAATAATAATGAGGAGATGCGGGCAATGACCCCTTGCTGCTTCTGTTCTGGCCACCATTTGGGATGATTATTTTCACCCAAGTCAATAATTAACCTTTTCCTCTCTTCAAAGGGTTCTAGGCTGCTTTGATGAATGGCTAGTTCTCTGAGAAGATCATGCAGCATGACAAAGTGATTATTGTAGTACTTGTCTGTGTCCCTTGCTACTTTCCTGATAATTAAGCAGAGATTAATTACCCAAGGAGAAACCAGAACCTAATATGACAAATGATTGAGGCAAGTGTAAATTAATTTTCAACTTTGTTTTGCCTTGAAAGACTAAAGTCATCGTATAAAATATTTCAGCTATCTAATATTACGATGAAGCATTAAATGGTCAACAAGAAAAAATAATCTGTGTACCTTCTAATGACAGTCTTGGCCAAATTACTGTTAGTTAATTCATGGATCGTGGCCATTGCTTC